TATATCACAGGAATAAAGCTTTGATCTCAGGTAGGATTTTGTTTTTTGATAGCCAAGGAATATTGATCAGTGTTCTCAAATATGTGCATATTTCTTTTGTAATAATTTAGCAAGTGGGAAACACAGACAGGGCAAAGAAGGTCTTGATGCAATGTAGAAGTATGTGCATCTGGGCACATGCGTATGCTTGTGCATATGTTTATGTATATATATGGGTATACATGTATGTGTGTATGCTTTTGTATGTATGCATATATTTGTATATGCATGCATTGGTATATTAATAGTTGTGTGTGTGTAAGGATGTATACATTTGTGTGTGTGTGTGTGTGTGTTATTCATATGCACTGTAAATATGTATATCTAATTGTATGTGTATGTGTCTATATAGGTATATATGTGGGTTGGATGTCTGTGGGCTTATGTATGGGTGTGTGTACGTGTGTGCATGCATGTGTATACATTTACAGGAATGAGCATATATGCATTGCATGGCATATATGGCTACACTGTGTATACATACACATATGTGCAATCTATAAAAGTGCACATGTTGTGGGTGCATATGATATATGCTCACACATGCACAATTTATTTATGAAATACATGCCTATACTCACAAGAGTATAACATGATGTAATGAGCAGGCTCGTGTGCTGCTACTCTTAAGACCATGCTAAACACGTTCAACCATGCTAGTGGAGCTTGCTGGTAGCATCCCGGCTAAATTACTCCCCCACCAAAATACGTTAAGCCGGTAGGCGGGTGGTACTCGGCTGTCTCCCTCCCAGTGACGAGTACACAAACAAAAAAGCAGCCCTCTTTCCCTGGAGGCGAAGGAGCCCTTGGTTACATTGATAATCAGGATACCTCTTGAACAGAGGGTGCTAAGAATGTCTGAGCTCCTGCAGTCCACTCTACATTGCTGAATATTTGCACATACAATGTAAGCACTGATTGAGGAACCTTCCTTCATTAAGTCGGATGTAATAGGAATTGAGAAGACTAGGTGAAGAACAGAAAATGCATATTTGTGTATATATATATATATATATATATATATATATATATATATATATATATATATATATATATATATATATATATATATATATATATATATATATATATATGCATATGTGTTGTGATCATATTATTAATAATTATGAAATTATTTATATCATGAAGCATTAAAGATCAAGGAAAAATTACTCAGGTGGAACAAGGAAATTGTAAGACATATACATGACGGTCGTTTTCCACAATAATAGCTTATGTAGGAAAATCAGGGAGGGAGGGAGAGAAAAGTCTTGGGTTTTGAATATCACTCATGAATATTTTTCTGTGAAACTGTCCTTTACTACTACTTTGTTGTCATTGTTTTTTTACAATGTATTTCTTACTTTTCATTTTTTCCTACTAGCCACATGCCAGGCTTCGCACGCAGTTTGTAATTGAGACTTTTTTTTCCATTATGGATTAGGGAAAGCATTTTTTTGGTCATATTCTTTTGAAGTCATCATGAACCCATTCACCATGCCATGCCACATGCTATGCTTTGCACACAGGTGGCAAATGAGGTTGAAAAAAGACTATCCCTCCTCAATAACTGCAATATGTGCCAAGTAAGGGAAAAGCTGTTTAAAACACACAGCTTAGAGCAGACTTACCCCTGAGTGGCATATGCCGTGAGGTGATTAGACTGTTTTCTGCGACAACATCTATGACTTCCTTATGAACACAGTCAGATGCCTTCTTCAAACTTTCACTTTCCGTCCTTGCATTTCTGTTGCTAATGCATGTATCAGTGAATGAATGCTCTGGCCTTTTTGAAAGTGGTCTGTTTAAAGTCTAGCCTTTTCCCTAAAATCTCTGCATGAGACATTAAAACACATGTCTTATTTATAGAAATTATAGAAGATAAAGTGAAAACAGATGCAGACATACCTTTTTATAAGACTAAAATAACCTTACCATTTCAGCTTGCTTACATCAATAAGACCCATCCCAGACCCTGTGACAAGGAAGTCGAGCTGTACAAGTTGCAAAACCACAAACTTCAAACGGATGGGGCATATAAACCTGTGAAGGGGAAGCTCTCCAATTGCCATCCCAATGGCTGCGGAAGGTAAAGGAAATTCGGTCTAAATCATACCTTTTTTACCATTTATTCACACTTATCCTTTAAAGAGTTTTGTGGGACAACAGAACATTATCTGTTGACTTATTGATCCCTAAGTTATTTCTCAATGGAGTTAGATATTCCTCATTTTAAAGCATTCTAAGTGGGCCATCTCTATTCAACAGGCATTTCAGCGTACAGAAGGTTGTCTCCACCAACCTCATTCTGGTTGCCGTCAACAACCTCTGCTCCTGTGACTCCAGAAGGGTGGATATTGAGCCAGTAGAGGTTGAATATAATGAGACCATGTTGTGCAACCGCCTGCTTCTCCATCACTACCGAAAACGACCATCAGAATGTTTCAACTACCATCCTGAA